ACCTTGGTTTCCTTGCAAATGGGTTTTCTGGGACCCTGTCCGTAGCATGAACCTTGGTACAACCCACGGCATATATCCGACCCCTGGGTTTTTTCCCGAACCTCGGAACCTTGCCAGAACTCTGACCTTGTCCCTGTCCGGAACCTGTGGCATAATCCAGGAAGTATATCCAAACTGTGGGTCCGCATCTGTGGTGGTTCTCGGAACCTTGTCGCCAGAATCCTGGTTCCCCAGACTCTGGGTTTGCAGGATGTCTCAAAATTGGTGTTCCGGTGATTCCAGAACTTTGGCACAATCCAGGCTCTGGCTGCTCGAAACCATGGTAAGGTTCCCGGAACCTTGTCGAAAGCCAAGTGTGCCCGGAACCTTCCCGGAACCTTGACGTCCCGGAACCCAAAAGGTAGCCAGAACCCATTGTTCCCAGAACCTTGCTTGAAAGTCTGGTTTGCGGAACCTTGGGTTCCTGGAACCTTGCCCCGAACCCTGGTTCCCGGAACCTTGGGTTCCCGGAACCTTGCCCCGAATCCTGGTTCCCGGAACCGGTTCTCGGAACCCTGGTTCCCGGAACCGGCGAAACGAGGCGGCAGGGTCGAGCAGTGCCCCAGGGCACCCCGAAGGCTATGTGGGCTGAGACCCCAAAGCATTCTGCTGTTGGGGAAAAATGGTGATTTAAAAAAGTTGGGGCTCGAGCGGCCTCCCAGCGGGCCCAACGGCCCTGTTCAAAACGCTCGAGGTTGTGTGGCGCCATGGAAGAATATTCCCCTAAGTTTGAGCTCATGAAGAGAGGAGATCGAGTCAACATGGTTGCATCTCTGGTTTGTTTCGATGATGGGCATGCCAACCATCTGATGAATTCCAACATTTCGGGGACCCTTTTCTCTTTTTCTGGTACCATTCCCCAGAACAAGCTGACCTACAGTCTTCTGAATGTCAGGGTGGTGAACCCATTGCCTCGCCCACTTTTGGTTTCGGATGAGGATAGCAGGATCCTTTTCCATGACACTTGTAGCTGGTCATCCATCAGAGAGGTCATCGAAGTTTGTGCAGGTATTGGAGGAATTGGACAAGGGTTGCTCAGTGTGGGGTTCAACCCGGTGGTTGCTTGCGATTTCAATCCCTTGATGGTCTCCCTTTACAGTAGCCAGACCAACATTCCAACTGTCACTGGTGATGTAGCAGACTTGGATACAGTGGTAAAGATCTGGGAAGCCCATCCCCACTCATCGACCATCGCTGCAGGTGTGAGTTGCCAACCTTACTCCGCACTTGGTGACCGGGGTAGTGGCTTGGATCCACGATCGAAAAGCCTTCCAGCCACCCTTGCATGTGCCCATTACCTTCGATCGGTGGTGGTGATCCTTGAGTGTGTTAGCCCAGCACAAAGTGATGCATTCGTCCGCATGCATGTTGATCGTTTCTGCCGGTTAACAGGTTTCCATTGTAGTGAAGCCATCCTGCGACTCCAGGACTGTTGGCCTTGCTCCAGGACTAGGTGGTGGTGCATCCTTTCAGCACCGGCTTTGGGGCCCATCCCACTGCGACAGATGCCGATTTTCACTGATTGTAGCCGCATTGAACATGTGATGCCTTACATCATCCGTTGGCCTTTTGACCATGAATATGCTTTGCAACTGAATGATGAAGAAAAGAAGGCCTTTCAGGTAGATCAGGAAAATGGAAGCCCATTCCTTCTGAGAAGGGCTGGCATCCTGCCATGTCCGCTGCATGCCTGGGGAAGCTAACTCCGGCCGTGTCCATGTCTGTGTCGGTCTGGTCCATTGTCAGCTGAGCGACTCCTCCACCGTGGTTTGTTTGGAGTCATTGTCCGTTCTGCATCCGATGCATCCGGCCAAAGCCAGTTTCGACACATCCATCCGAGTGAGTGTGCTGCCCTGGTAGGTTTGGACCCTGCTGCCGATTTTGGTGACCATGTCCTGTTGACTCTGTCAGGCATTGGACAGATTGCTTCACCCATTCAAGCTGCTTGGGTAGGACCACATGTCATCAACCATTTCACTTGGCTGAAATATGGAATCAGAACCTTTGAGCCAGTGGATCACCTCAATGCCTACAGGTCTTGGATCCTAGCCCGATGCCAGATCCCATGGCCATGCCCTGATGTCATGGACCGCACAAGGTTGACCCAGGATGCCATGCTGTGGAGTCATGCCATGCTTGAGCCTTTGCCCAAGCTTTTGCAGAGGGATGAATGGGATTTCACAATGTCTGAACGATGTTTGGCTGCCGCCTTGTACCAACTTCGTGAACGACAGCCGGACTCTGAAAGAGAACTGGCTGTGGCAGCGATTACCCAAATTGATGCACCTCTCGATTTGACAGATGAGATGTCTGATTCTGATGAGCCAGAGCCTGAAGCCCTGTTGCCGGTTGCGGAACCCCCCAAGTTCCATGTTGTGTCTGTCCCAGATGATTGTGCAGCCATTTTGTACCCGCCAGCTCATGATGTGGCATTTGTCAGGTTGTCGCCGCAAACAACTGTCCAGCATCTGCTTGAGGCTGAAGGACGTTTGTATGGCTTTGATTGGACCCAGGTCACGGCTTTCAAGATGGATGGATCCCCATGGGACGTATCAGAGGTTTTGCAGCCAGGTCACATGGCCCAGCTGTGTGTCATTCCTAGAGGCCAAAGTGGGGACCCTGAATATCTTGTTTTTCGACCACACCTGCATGGTTTCCCAAGTGGACAACGCCCGTTACCCATCATGCCAAGTGAGCCAAGTGGGGAATCCGGGCTACTCCCTTTCAGATTGCCCGTGAATGAAGCAGCTGAAGCCGTGTGTGTAGGACACTTTCCCCTACAGGTACCAGGGGTCACCAACCACCAGAGCTGGCAGGAGGGGATTTCGAATGATCGTAGATTCATCCCATCTGATGTTGGGGTTGCAATCCCAACTTGTGTAGGGGTGACTGGTACTCCACCTGCACCTGGTGTTGCATGTGATGGTGATGCTGGGGAATCCGGGCCACTCCCCTTCAGATTGCCCGTGGACTTGCCAATGCCTACTGACCTTCCAGGTGATGACGCCCTGTCCAATGCTGATGATGACCCCATGACCGGTGTTCCACACGGCCATCAACCAGATGGTGCCTTCATGACTGGGACTACCAGATTGGCTGCCAGTGATGATGGGGAATGCAGGCCACTCCCCTGCAAATTGCCTGCCAGTGTGATGCCTTCAGCACCCGCCCAAGCCGTTCCAGCGCATGCCATTTTGGCTGGTGTCCAACCAACCTCTCCTATAGGTTTCCTGAAACTTCCGCCACCGCCTTGTGCGGTACTACTGGTAGTTATGAAACATTTCTGTCACTGTAATACTAGGTCGGTGTTGTTTTTCCTGACGATGTTGGAGGTGTTTGTTAACACGGTTAGCACGATTTTTTTGTTTGGAAGAGGGCCCTATTCAGATGAAGGATTTCACGACTTGAATCCCACATTGAAACCCACCACATTCCTTAAACATATTCACGTCGCTTCGCGACGGCAACCGCCCGCACCGCATCGTTGGGCAGCCGCTCGTAACTGCCAATGATGTCGGCCATTGAGACCAAAATCATCCGAAAGTACCGATTGTCGGAAAAAAAAACGCGAAGAATTTGATAGCCATGTATAGCGGACCAACACAGTTCAAAAAATAACGAAAAACATGAAAAAACGGCGAAATTGCTGTTATTTACAGTGTTTTTGCGCGGTGAGAAGCAGAAACCACTGCAAATACCATGGTTTTCGAGGGTCAGGTGGCCAAAAACACTGTAATTTACAGTGTTTTTTTAACCAACGTCAAAAAACACTGGTATTTACGATGTTTTCATTCACACCGTAACATAAAACAGCGTAATTTACGAGGTTTTTGGAAGTTTTGAAGCTAGCCGTCAAGCATGCAGAAAACAGAAAAACACTGTAAAAACCAGTGTTTCTGCTATCACAAAACGACGAAAATCAGTCCGAAAACGGGTCCAAAAACTCAAAAATCCGCCTCCGGGCCCGGCCACCTGCGGAACCGCAAAAAAAGATGTTGCAAACCAAAAAATTGAGGTCAAAAAGTTGAAAAACACGGGGTTTTTTCATTTTTCGCTTGCCGATTTTGGACGGGCGCGTTCACGAACAGGTGTCTTCCGTACTGTTTTTTACAGTGTTTTTTGAAGGCGAGCGTCACGACCTATCAAAAACAGGAGGTTTTGGACAAAAAATCCCCCCCCCCCCAGGTAAACCTGTAACCTTTTTACGAGTGCCATCCGGAAGATCACGCCCCAGCACCTTCGGTGCGGGCGGATTTTGATGTTTGACTCCACACCCACTTCCACTTGTTTCCATCGTTTTTTGGGAAACTGGATTCTAGTTCCTATTTCGTTTTATGATATGAATTTTAGTCGCCGCCTGTACCATGTAAACCCAAGCGCGCCCCGCTCTGAACAACAAACCTTTTCCAGCCCTATATGGTAAGTTCCCCTTGGTTTGGGTTTCAATTTGGGTCGAGACCTGAGCCCGAAAAAACAAGAGTTGTTTTGGATTTCATTCAACTTTATTCCGCACTTTTGTGAGGGCGAAATTGTCCCACACGCATCCGCACGCGTTGTTTTTTTTTTTTTGCGATACTTCATGTCAGATCAGCAAAACTTCAACAAACCCACCCAGCATTCAGGATATGTGGCTGCGCAACGTATTTGCTGAGGGCAGTCGCACCAGTGTGGATGTGGTGGCAGAAGGCGTAGCAATGAGCGAAAAGGACAAATTTTGATGCCCCAAGTGGTAGGTTAGGTGAGGCCTCAAGGTACACGGATATGTCTGAATGTTTCAAAGAGAAACCTTTAAAATCGCTGGGTTTCAAACCATTTATATTGCCACTAATTGCGGTAACTCTGCATCCTTGGACGACCCCAGATGTAAAATAGCAAGGATTCTCTGCACCGGGCGCAGACGTTGCAGGTGCTTCTGGGCGCATCTTGGGGTATTGTGCCTATCGTTTCGAAGGGGCCCTCCAGCAACTTGCTCGCAGCCTTTGATGATGGAAGGACCTATGGGACCTATGGGACCTGTAGATTTCAATGATGCTAATGTTACGGTCAAACGCCATCGCCCGGACCGGGAAGGATCATCATCGTCATCATGACAAGTAGGATACCCCCCCCAAACCCTCCCCAACCTAAATTGTAATGATATGTATCTTTCAGGGGTCATGGGGAAGATGGTAATCTTATCATCATACAGGTAATTTGGTGTAGCAAACGGTAGCTGCCAAACCTTCATTCCCTTTGGGCCGCGGCTGCATGTTACTGCGGCATGGCGAAGTGACAATGTTGCCATACACTTCGGATATGGATGAACATTGCATCAACATGATTAGTTAGTTGGTTGTTAAAACAGAACAGAGACCCCACACGGTATTATATATATATATATGTATCCAACCATGGTACAATTTCCATGCATCTAATTTTAATCCGTATGGTATGATCAGTGTCCCAACATATATGATCATGTTATTCGGATCAACATGTATTGATAGTTATTTTAAGATATATGCACATGTTGTGGCCCTTGAACTCTTGGATTTCTTGGGCAACCTTACCATAAGTCGGTGGTATATACCATCAACATATGAGTGTTTTTTTAATTGTTTTACCAGCACGAATCATTTTTCCCATTGTTGCGAACTCTTGCTTAGAAGTGGACCCCTCAAAGTATTTCCCAAGTGTGCAACGATTGTTGATTTTAGTTTGATGTTATTTTTTCACAATTTTGCTATCATGCCTTCATGTTGATTGCCACTGTTCTGATTTGCCGAGTCTTCAAGTTTCTAGTTGTGTATGTATTGCTTATCAGTGGCCATTTTGCAGCCATTTCCCCCATAATTATGGTAGGATATCTCCTGTGGTTGTCAGTTCCATCGGTTTTTGTTGGATCGATAAGATGACATCACCCATGTTCGGCAACGTTGCTTGAATCTCCATGTTGATTGACTCAACCCCCAGATCTTCATTGCTTAAAATGTCCTTCTGAGTTGGGATTCATTCTCCCCCAATAGAACACATTTGTTGGGTCAAAATGGGAATCAATCTTGATGGGTTATCATCCCAAGTTTGTCCGTAGATTTTTGTGTGTTTTTCATGGACCTTCCTCGTCAAAGCCGGTAGTTCCCTCAAAACATGCAGTTTCCAGTAGGACAGTCATTTTCCGAAACCGTATTCCTCCAAACGGTCCCTCGTTATAATTTCCATCACAATCAACTTGTGACAAATCAGGAGACAAGATATAACCAATTTTCCAACATTGCCTTGGTTTACCTTCCAGTCAATTGATAGCTTTGTTGATAAATGTATCCTGCACCTCCAAGAGGAGACTGAAAATCCATTTCCTATAGCTACTTACTCAGAGGGATGAAACCTATTGGTGGTCAATATTCTCATCGAAACTGTTAGGTATTTATATTTGTCACCATGAATTTCCAGGTTTATTTTGCCACACCTATTTGGGTATGGGTCAAAATTGAGTACAGTTATTGGATGGTTAATACTGACAATAGATTTTTCTATCTGCCCCCAGGTCCTGAATTTTGACCCATACCCAATTATACCCTCTGGTAAACTAACATAACTATGGAAAATCACCATTTTCAATCGGAAAATCCACTATTTCAATGGTCATTTTCAATAGCTATTTTGACATAACCAGAGGGTAAATCACCATTAATCACTATTAATCACCATTAATCACCATTAATCACTATTAACCATTATGAATTCTCTCATGATGAAGTCATGATAGATTTTTATGTGAAGGATTCATGTCACACGAACATTCAAGTGAGTACTGCGGTGAGTTTCCCTGTTGTGCATGCAAACATGTTGATACGGATTTCATGGTTGCATTTTGGTTCTAAGTCACAAGTGTGACTATCGTCGGCAAGTGCCGAAACGTGAACTTCATGAGTTGGCATGTCATTTACAGACAATTCATTTGTCACAAATGCATGTTTTCAATTTCATCAACTCAAAGTTAATTTGGAAGTTCACTTTCAATTCAAAATGAAATCAATTTTCATATCAAAATTTTCGTAAAATTTTCGTTGCACCCCGGCCGTGTCCTATGCGATATCGCTCGGCCGAGCTGAAAGGGCGTAAAGCCTTTACTTCGTGTGTGCAACTCCGTCCAGTTCCAGAGGCTTTGAGCTCGACCTTCTGGTTTTTCACTGGTTTTTGCAGCGGCGTTTTCAGTGGGATCCTTCTGTGCTTGTGGCTTATTTCAGAATGACGATGGTCATGCTCCCCGCCGATCAGTTCACCATGAGAGCTTATACCTCTCGGGAACCCGAAGACCCGGAGTATACCGTCGATTCCCTGTTGCCATTCCTCGGCCTCGGCCAGACAGAATGTGATTTGAATCACTACGTGCTGCCGATGCAGACACCCGTACAAACGTACGTGTGTCCGGCCTTGGAGTCGGCGGAAGCTCGCTGGATCCCCATGGGACACGACCTTAGCCGACAATTTCAGGCTTCATATGCTGGTGTGTGACCGTGAGCTCTTTCTGTCTATGAGACATTTTGCTAGCAACCGGAACTACCTCATCAACCTCGGAGGAGGACACCCAGCAAATCGCATTCTCACCTATGTGGAAGTTCACTGCCTGCCACCGACTGAAACGGTCGAAGTGCTTGGCCGAATGCATCGCACTCTTCGCCGATTGCGCGATGATGTCTCGGTACTTCAAACCGAGGTGCGCATGCTGCGCCGTACATTCGGCCAGGCCCTTGAGAATCTTGCGGCCAATTACGAGGAATTGGCCCCATTGATCGGTTTGGTGGCTCCTCCACATGTCCAAGGTGACCCACATGAAGCTCCCGACGCCGCTGATCATGGCGAATGACATCATTGTCCTCCAGCCCATCGAGTTTTTGACATTTCAATTTGGGTACATACCCTCTACCGCCACAGAGCTTTTGGGCATTGCCTGCTCGGATGTGTGAAAAATTCTCCAGTTTTCTATCCGGGGGTTCAGCGCACTGGTCGAGTGTCCACACAAAGGTAGTTACCTCAACATGTCATGAGAGTAATCTTTCACATTTCACAAGAAAGTTGGCATATTTGAGTGGAGTCGAGTGACCCGCAAGTTGAGTTGTGCCACATTGTTCATATTCGTGAAGGCTCAAGTGAGCGAAGTTTTGTTCAGAGGGGCGAAGGATCACGTGGCGCCTTGTGAGTCCGATCCTTTGCAGCCAGCTGTCATGTGACAGTTGGTTTTCTTATGGAGAAGTGTCCATAACATGACATGTCACAGTATCAAGTTGTTATCAAGCGGTCGAGTGACGCTCCAAGGTATTGGTGTGGAAGTGCAAAAGTTTCAGACTCAGAATTGTGTTGGCTCCGGAACAGAATGTAGAGTAGGCCATGTATGCATGCATGTCCGGTTTTGACATAATACAAAGAGTTTGTCGGTATCATCAGGTCGTGAACCGAGACCCTCTGATTGACAGGTGGGGTCGTGAGTTGCGAGTGCAACTTTAAATGAAACCCTTGGTGTTCATTTCGATGACAAGAGGTTTGCAAGTGCGACCTGTATCTCATATTCAAGTGGGTTTATTTTGGGTCCTTTGCCGAAGTGGCACAGGGCGTGGAGGACCTCCATTGGCGGTTCAACACTCAGATTCATTCCAGCAATGGCAATGCATAGAAGTTTTATGCGCAGATTTGTCAGAAGGTAGTAAGGGAATGTAGTACGGCTGTTAAAGTGAAATGCAGTAATCAGTGGCATCAATATCGCTCTTTGCTGAGTGCCCTTTCCAGGTGAGACCCGACGGCTGGCCGAGTGATCTTATATGCACGGGCCCCCATGAGCATTCGAGCATCCGGCCTGTAGGAATAATGAGAAGGGGGCTGAAACGCCCCAATGAATCGGACGACCGATCCGAGTCAGCATCCGTCAATTCTCAAACTGTACAGTTGCCGCTGCCAGAGGGTCTCGATGCATCCGAAGTAGTTGACGTCGCAGAGTCAGAAGTAGGAAGTCTTTTTGGACATGAGAGGGATAGCCCACAATGGGATGGCTACCAAGATTTTCCCCCACAACCAGTGGTATTATCCAGCCAGAAAACATCTCACCTTGATGATGCTAGTGTTAAGAACCTGAGATCCATGGTAACAGATTCATGTCTTAGGACCCCGCCTACGTTCAAGTTCAAAATGCCCTGGGAACGTAAGGGGTTGGCACGCATCTTCAGCAAGGATCCAGTGAATCTCATTCCAAACCCTGTCATGGGACCTATCGACTTTGATGCTTTAGGAAACCAGACATCTTCGTCGGTCCATCCTGCACAGGGTAAGACCGTGAGAGGGGCTTATAGCGATGTCATCAACTTCAGGAACATAGATCTGTCCGAGAGAGATCTGGAGGAGACAGCCATGACAAAGGCACTTGAAAAGTGGTATATGATTTTCTCGACGGGCCCAGAGTCATGGCCCAAAGGGTTTGATCTTCGTGCTGCTGTGCGCGACCACCGACTAGATGATATGCAACTCGTTTTTGGGAATAGAAGTCATGGGACCATTCTTAGACGAGGTTCAAGTATACTACAATTCACTAGGTGGTACAAGACACGGTATTTTGCACTGTGCCCTTTTCCAGTATCCAGAGAACTTGTCGAAGAATATCTGCAAGAAATGCGGGAAAAAGGCAAACCAGCCTCTTTCATCAGAGGGTTTGTGGAAGCATTGAATTTCTGCAAGCATGTAGTTGGCATCGATGGGAGTTGTGATACAGAAGACCTCATCTCAGCCAAGATCCACAGAATGATTGAAGCCAGTGACGCCATGCGCAAGGAGAAGAATCAAGCCAGAGTTTTGACCGTCAAGGAAGTCGAACACCTGGAACTATACCTTGCGGATGAGAGGTGCACCCTCACCGATCGTTTTGCCAGTGGATGCATGTTGTTTTGCCTCTATAGCAGGAGCAGGTGGTCAGACATCCGAAAAATCTATAGCTTTT